TGGCTTATGCTATTTTCCTCCTTGATGCCCTCTGGATTGGCTTTGGGGACTGGGCATCGGGGAAGCATTGTGTTGTCTTCTCAAGTTTCTCCTTTTGTTTGTAATTTTGTTCGGTGCTGAGGTTTGTGAATGCTCGCAGTGTACAGACTTTGTTGTCAGTCGAAGGATCTTTGCACTCAGTCACTTTTCAGCGATGTTCTTCGGGCACAGGCAATACAGTCCTTTGCCTGTGACCCAGGAGGTGACCACCTCAATTCATGTGGGGAAGGATGATACAGTGTAACTGGCACAGTGTCAGGGTTTCCCCTTTTACTTTCTCAAGGGAAACCAGGTGACAACACCCAGGACCTACTCTAAGTAGTCTCCAAAGCCCCTCCTAACAATACTTTAGGACTGTTCTCTCTACAAAGAGAATCTGGGTGCTGGTTCACAGAGAAAACCCATTAATAGCAACCACTGTAGTGACTTTTTAAATGGCATATTTTTCTTTATGGATTAGTATTTATTATTTAATTTTTATTCAATTGTGAGCTGCTCATTTTCTATCACAGATTTCCTTTGTGATAATTATTTGAAGACTGTAGTATCAGTAGGTTTCTCTAGAGAGAACATAAACTTACTGTTTTCAGGCATTTGGGGCCATAACCACTGTTAAACCATCGTAAGTTACATTATTTGCTATAGGCTTCAACAACCACTCAGGCAGCGTGCTTATGGTCTGTAAATGAACGTAACACGTGCCGTAGACTGTGCCTTTGAATTCTTAGGGTTGCCCACTTCCCCAGTCTTCTCAACACTTAAGTTCAAGAAATACAAAGTTGTGCCCATCGTTTTCTGGGAATCTGTGTGTTATGCACAGATCTTTGGATGGCCTAGCTTTATAGCCAGAGGGTCTTCTCCGAGTACTTATTTAGAGTAGGTGCTGAGTGTTGTCACTTGGTTTCCCTTTGTAACAATTCTGTGTGTTAAGTTTTCTTAGGCTAAAAGCTAGCTACAGCATTCTCTTTATCTTCCTGGGTTTTTATTTATATTTACTTCTTAGGCTCAAGAATTCCTTGTATTCTTAGCAGCTCATTACTCTATTTAGGTTTTCAAAACATGTAATGAGATTATACCTGTTTTCATGGCTAGTCAGTATAGATACCTAGCTTGTCCATTACTAAACCAGAATTAACATATTCACATGTTCCTAAAGGACAGTGAGGCCTGCCATAGAAATTGGTGTCATCACGAACAACATCACTTGTGATGCTGTGTACTCGGAAAAGCAACATCCAAATCTCTTTCACTTGTTACATATTCCAGTAAACAGGTGGTAATGTGTATGACTTTGCACTTATACTTTCAGATCTAAATAGTTTAAGTACACACTACCACACTGGTCGCCAAGCCGCTCTTCTGTACTTACAGAACAGCCGCTTGTCAAGCTGGTCAAGGGACTGCAGGACTCTCTGCTCTTCAGCTGAGAGTGCGCAGAGGTCGAGCCGCTGGGTCTGCCTGAAAGCCAGGTCTGACTTCTGGAGCTGCTTGTTGTTCAGCACAGTTAGAATTTCATCTTCGGGCATCGAAACGTTCACAAGATTTTCAGCCATCAAAAACTCAGAAGTACTATCTGAAACTACGTAAGTTTTAATCAAGCTTTGATCTGTTTGCTTTGGGACGAGCCCTTGTATGTACTTAGCAATGTCTGCGCGTATTCACTTCATGAACAGAAAGGCACTAATATGCTCTTTCTCTGCACTCATTAGGATTCTCTACAGCCAGCATTTCTCCACCCTTAATCAAATCTAAAATGACTGCAGCGAGAGAATAAAAATTCCTGAGAGTTACATTATGTTTACATAATACTTTGCATTAAGTTTTGCTATTTATTGATGGTACAAAGACAATACGAAGGAGGTTGTCTTTATAATGGCAGTTAAAATGAGCTATAAATAAAAAAGCAGAGAAAATAAGGAAGGGTTAGAAAGTTACATGAACAGTTGAATAGAACAGCCTAGAAACAGACTAAGTGATTAAGAACGTACAGCTCAAAGGAACATCAAAGACTTGGGAGAAAGGAGGGTGTTTCCATGAGTTTGTTCTGTGCTTAGAAAGGGATTGATCTGGGGCTTCACTTCCCATCTTTCATTTATAAAACTTTTCAAAAAAATCTTTCATTTATTTAGTTGCTACAGGGTCTCGTTACGCAGTTTGGGCTTGCAGTGATCCTCCTTCGCAGCCTCCCCAGTGCTCACCATGCCCGGTTTTGGTGGCCGGCACAGCATGTGGTACTGGGGATCGAACTCAGGTTCTTGCGCTGGCCAGGCAGGTGCTTGCCAGGCAGGTGCTCAGACCACTGAGCTATCTCCCCAGCTCCCATCTTTCCTCTAAACAAATTCCAAGTAAAGAGTTAAATTGAAGGAAGCCAACTATTAAAGCGACCGAGAGGAAAAAAGATACTTTACATTTCTTCATTGAGAAGTGTGAAAGCAACAGAGGAATCACCCGAAGAGCCTGACCTACAGGAGCCGGGTGCAGGACGCCGGGACCCTGTCATCTCGGCACTCTAACGCTCCCAGCAGCTGTCTGGGCAGGTGACTCCAGCGCCCGGCATCTCCGTGGGAAATGCAATTCTGCTGACTTGTAATTCTACTGGGCAAGTCAGAAGTTCAGTTAGCTTGCCAACCAACCACGTTTCTGAACTCAAGTCTCACCACATTTAAATGTTACTGTGGCTTCACAGAAGGTATTGATTCTGAAGTCATGGGTTTTGATTGATGGTTTTAAAAACTGTTTAGATTTTAATTGTGATGCAGAAGTTTTGTAACAGATATTTGGTTTTGTGCAGACATTATTTCTACCCTGTAGCTAAGTTCAATAAAGCTCATATCCCTCCTCCCCCAAAAAGAACTGCTGAACTGAGGATGTGGCTCAGAGGCAGAGCACTGGCCTGGCTTGTGAGAGGCCCTGCTTTTGATGCTTGGCACCACCAACAGAAACAAACAAGCAAACGAACAAAGCAAAGACTGAAACGTGTTTCTGTCAGGCCACGTCACGCCAGTCTTCCCCGACACATTTTTAAGTTCTGGAGGGGAAGACTTTTATAGATTGTGCTTGTGACTGTGTAACCATTATCTACTTATAATCAGAAAGGTAATTCTTGATAATCATTTATGGAATGAAAAAATAAAAATGAAAACGTATGTTAACATACAACTTAAATGAGTAAAACAAAAATAATAAAGCATCAAAAGCACCTGGAACCAATGTAAGGATTACGATCATTGATGTTTCAAGAATTCTTGGAAATCATTAAGAAAATGTCAAAACTCTAATATTTAGGGAAAAAGAATATAAAGGGACAGAACTTTCACCAAAAATACAGATAAAAACAATCAAGCATATTACTAATAAAAATATTAAAAAATTAGTATAACTAAATTTCTTTGACTTTGTATAAGCAAATAGTGAGGAATTATACCTCAAGTTGACATACATGACTAAAGAATTTTGAATAATACTTTTAGGAAAAAAGTTAGCAAAATGCATGAATACCCACATCGATGCTTGTCTCCTTTGATCTAGTATCCATTTAATACGTAGAGTTTCATTCAACAAGTATTTATTGAGTGCCATCTATGTGTCCAGTTCTGTAATTTTGATTCTGGAACCCTATCCTACAGAAATGATCGATAAGTCAAGAAATAGCTCAGTGTAGAAAGCTGTTCAGTATCCTGCTATTAGATCAAAAGAAAGGCGGTGACAAAGTGCAGAGGCAAGGACAGCTCAGGCCCGGTGTGTGGGTGGCAGTCACACAACCTGTAAGCCCTGAGAACATACAGACAAGGAAGGACACCTCTGGAAACAAAGCCCCAAAGGAAATATCTAAACCAAAGCATACCTTCTTCGACATCAGCGGCACCTCTTGTGGTTTGTTTTGGCTCCCTTGAACTTAGCTGGACAGTTTGTCCAAAATTCTGTAAAATTGGAATATTGGATCAGAACATAGTCCACGTTTAAAATTTATAATATATACATGAACTTTAAAAAATTTTGAAATTGCTGTATATATTTTAAGCTATCTTTATTTAAGTAGCACTTTGTTTTTGTAACAAATCTGAGTTAAGGTCTTTCTAAGGTATATGAATATTTAAAAATACATTTTTATGTGCACTGAAAAATTTCAGGTCATAGTGTTAGATATTTGGAAAAGTGAGAGTAAACTGAGTACCATTAAAATGTATTTTAAAGAAAAGGTAAACATTTATTGTAAGGTTTATAACTTAGTTGATTTATCTTGGGAATGAACCCTGAGCCTTCACACTAGGCTA